ACCGTCCAATGTCCACCCCCTTCGGGGCTCAACGTCCTCACTGACACACCGCAACTGCTTCGAGAGAGGGCGGTACAAAAAGAATTTAGTGATTCACCTAAGACTGAAAAACGTTACGGTTGAGCTTCTTTAGAGGGACGCAAGCACGCCAAGCTAAGAACAAACAATATCCGTCCACTTCTTTATCGACTTTTAGAGAAAATGAGAATCTCAGCTACCTTCAGAAAACATGGTAAAAAAGAAAGAGAATCGTCAAAGGTGTTTTCTTTTTCGGGCTTCTCCTCAAGGTTTTTAAAATGGATATGCTAGGGAGAGATTTTCACACCCTTACAAAGAAGGTTTCATTCCCCTCTTCAACCGATAAGGGATCTCACACAACATTGATAAAACATTCAGTCCTAAGGTTGCTTGGTGGTTCCATTCTTCTCCTTTCTTCTTGTTGTAGCCTATATACCTTGACTGAAAGGGGGTAGTTTTAGAGTTTGGGAAATGGAAAAAGTGGAGTAAAAGAGTATTGAAGAAGAGAGGGAAAAAAATGCGGGAATATAGGGAAGGAACATTAAATAGTACTTCTTTCCAAATTGATTTAGTTAAAATACAAACTCCCCTGGCATTTCTTCATCTTTGTAACAATAACAAAAGAGAGGAGAAGAGTGCAAAATAAGAATCTCTGGCAGAGAAAGGTTGCCTTAAATGTTTGGACTTGGGTTTCTAAGATGCCAATAAAGAGGCTAAACATCCCATAAGAGACTCAACAGCCTCCATTTTGTTTCAGGAATCCTACATTCATGCTTTCACCATAAAACCCAAACAGTTTACAACATGCACAACTTCCACTCAGATAAAAATAACCAAATAAAACGACCACAACATCACAGACCAACAAGAGAAACTTCTTTAACTATAAAAACAATGGCCATGAATCACAAGAGTAAAGCAAGATCTAGAATCTTCTTAAAGGCAGATCAGTGAACCATATCAACAACATAAAAATCATCATAACCTGTAACTTCCAAATCCTTGTTTAAATCAAACAAAAAACCAAGAGTAAGAACACACATAAAGCTAGAAAATGTGGGAAGGGATTCAAATCTGAAACCCGCAATGTTCTACTTGAATACTCAAAATCAGAAAAGGAAAATCAGAGGTGAAGAGTTGCACAACGAATTAAGCGGCATTAAACGCGCGGGGGGAAGGGAGATCTCAGCAAACACATAAAGGGCACAATGAAGATGACAATTCAAAGAAGATCCAGAAGAAATCAAACCTGAAAATATTCGCAGCCTAAGGAACGGATCGAGAAAGAAGCAAACCCCAAGAAAGTAAGATCTTGCGATCGATTGAAATGGGTGCTAGTCGAAAACTCGCTATATAGACCTTCGGATTGCAGGTCGAAATTGACGGCTCCGCAACGAAGAAACAAGAAATATGTAAGAAAACTGAGGCATCCAAGACGAACACGAATAGGATAATTTATAAGACAGCATTCTCCAGACCTCCAGAGCAGAGACATTGGTAGGTGGGCATAGGCAGTTGGGGAGAATATCGTCATACCATCGTCATATATATATATATTATAAAAAAAAGGATTTATTTTTAAAATTTATTTTAAAATGTTCACAAAGTTATTTTAAACTCTTTGTATAATGTAATAATGCGTACAGCACACTTTTCTTATTAGTTTCTCATTTTTAATATAAAAAGAATTATTATTATTATTTTTAGTTTTCTCTCCAAAATTTTCAAAATTTAAAAAGAATATTTGATTTTTCTCGATTATATAATTACTTTTAAAAATTTTATTTTAAAAACTTATTTTCATATGAGATTTTATATTTTATATTTTAAAATTAAAAATTTTAAGAAACAAACCAATAAACAAGAAAGAAACAAAAATAAAAATGTTACCAAAGTTGCTTTAATAAATATTTTGTTTATTTGGTATATAAAAAAGTAGGGATGCATTAATACATTGAATTTGAATACAAATAATTTATATTTTATTCTATTAAAATTTTGATTATAATATTGAAAAATATTTTCTTTTCTTAAATTTAAAGAAAGGTATTACTATAATTATGTCTTTACTTTTGTTTTGGTCGTCCTTTTGTTCATAATTTTTGAGAAAATATTATTCAACTTAATTACTTTCAAATTCATTTATAATTTTTTATTTATTTATTTATTTATTTTTATCCATTATTAATTATTAGCGTTCACTTTGTCGCATTTGCATTTTAACAATATTTGACATGCATTATTAAAAAAAATTAAATTAATTTTAAAAATAAATAGTTAAATACCTTATAAATAAATTAAAATTGAGCGCACCTTTTTGACCTAAAGAAAGGTGGAGGAATAAGGTGATCGACATTATCATGCTCTTACGCTTAAATCAATATTAGATCTAAGCTAATAGAGTTGCGACCATAAATCAGGACACTTTATGTACTTTTAGTGCGAAAAGTAATTAAGAGAACACAATTTTTTCTGAAGGGTCAACAAAAGTTGGGTGATTTCCCTCTCTGGATGCACCAAAAATCCCTTTTCATCCTCTCCCCATCTCTCATCTGCGCATTTTCAGGTATGAATTTCCCTCTTTAGTCACTTCTATGGAGGAACAGTTAAATTAATGTGTCTTGGAAATGCATTTAGATCATCTTCATGTTTGTGGTTTTTCTGGAAAGTTTTCTTGGAAGGAAGCTTGTTCTGATGTTCGATCTTCGATGGATTTTGCTATCCTGTTCTTCCAAATTCTTTGTCCCGCTCTTTCCTCGGATTTTTTTCCACCCAATGTTGATTTTGCGATTTTAACTCTCCAGCCTTAGATGAAGACTTATCACAGTTGTTGGAATGTATGCTAGATTTGCTTGCTGGGTTCTTGCTTGGGAATTTACTACTAGAAACTTTTCGAAAAGAAATCCAGAAACGATGCTTTTATTCATGGGTTATGAACTCCATTGGCTCAAAATTCCCCAAGCATTCAAATGGAACAGTGAAAATGGAGTAAATTCCTTTTGGTTTTCTATAATGTATCTGAATATGGGCACTAGAAATTAGCTCTCAAGATTTCATCAGTTGGCTATGAGATTTCATCAGTCTTCTATGCCTGGCTTTACCGTGAATTGAGTGTTGGCACTCTGCCGATTAAGTTCATATGTTTTCTGTTGGGGTTATTGTGTGTGCTGTGGGGTTATATATTCCACCCAGTTTCAATAAATTCCGTGGAGAACTTTTGACCATTTTGATTAGAACTTCAGCATCTGGTTTGCACAAAATTGGTCTTAAGAGTTCTAAGATTTGGACTGATGGCCGGAAGTAGCCCATTAACTCTGGTAAGATGTGGATCGAACCGGAAATAGGGAGGAACGAATCATCTTTTCTCCAAGAACTACAACCCAGCAGTCACAAAACAAACACTCAAAAGAGACAAAAGGGTTGACTCCTCCACCCGTCTACATATTAGAAAGCGCATGATGAAACCTGGCTGAGACTAATGATACATGAGGACATTAGACATTAAGTAGAGGAAGCCCAAGCCCAAGTGGTGTAAATATGAGTTAGGCTATGATTACAAAATATAATTGTGGAGGACCAAGTAGAAGCAAAAAGAGTGGCCAAGTCCCAAAAAATAACCATGTTAGTTTCTTGACCAAGAAAAATTCTAGCATTTCTTTCAAACCATAGTCTCCAAAGGAGGGCAAAGACACGCCCGTTGTACCTCTCAAGGTTCTTGTTATTACGTTGGGTTTTAAAGTTAGGATAACCAAGAGTTTCGTTGCCTATGCCATATCTATTGTCTCCAATCGAATGACTGTTAGCTTTACGAGTTCTTTCTCTTCATGATTTACCCCTGAAGACTTAGGTCTCCTCCTGGGTTGATCCAAATACTCCCACTTTAGTTAGTGATTGATGAACTGTGCAGAAGATTACGAAAAAACCTTCTGCACAGTTCATCAATTGTGAAGGCAATTGACTTATCTTCTCAATCTTCTTGTGCTCAAATCTTTGGAACACAACTAGATTTGGCTGGTTGTCCTTGTATTTTGTGTGCTGTTATCAGATCGGTGTGGTTCTATAACATCTGAATTTAGAGGATTAGTAGTTGTACACTACCAGAATTCAGCATTGGTTTGTATTTTGAAATTAGCAAAAGATGCTCAAGAATATGTTAAAGAAACAAAAGGTGAAAAGTGTCTGTGTTATGAAAAAAAATTAAAAAGGAAAAGAGTGGTAGTCATTGGTCAACAGAAGACTATTCACAATCATGTTACTCTGGTCTATTCACAAACGTGAAACCTCTCAAAAAGCTGTTAGCAGTGCTCAAAATTTGATTGGATATTTTTTTGTTCGTTTTAATTTTTAAGGGTAATCTGTAATAGCCAAGACCATCCACCACCACTTATTTCTCCATCACATATAAATAATCCAATCATTTTGCTCATTGCTTTCCTTGTTCAGTACACTCAACATCACGATTGCTACTATCTTCACTGCACAATATGAAATTTAATCAGCGTAGTTACTGTCAAGAAAAATTTTCCTGTGCTGGTTTTTCTTAAACACGTCAAATTTGTAAGCAACTTCATTGGTAAAATGAAATGTACAAAAGTAAGGAACAGCTGAAAAAAATCCTGTCTGAGAAGCTACAGAAACGACACGCAATCAGCTAAACAAAGAAATAAGATAGTTGCAAAAATCTTTAGAAAACTGTTTCAAGAGGAAGCCAAATGAACGAAACTATCCTGATAATCCTCCCAAAGCCTCATAATATCAACACTCCTCTCACCATCCACACCACTCGAAGAGGATACCAAGTTGGGGTGAGCCAAAGAACCATTGCCCATAATTTGTTGTCCTGTATTAGTTGTGTATTCATAAAAAAAAAAAAAAAAAAAAAAAAAAAAAAAAAAATTGTCATTAGTTTTTAGAACTATATTTGAAATAAAATTAAGATGGATCTCTCACTGTGTTTCCATATGGAGCTAACTCAGAAGATCTAAGCTGGCTTTGTATGCCAAAAGTTAAAATCACAATTAAGCATTAATCAACGAAAATGCTCAAACAGTAGTTATTGCAGTTCTTCTTTACGTGCATGATGTTACAGACTGACCGGAGGAAAAGACTGAAGACAGAAGAACCATATATGGAGACAGGGACTGGAAAAAATTTCCTCCTCACCCTGGCTTATCTTGGTGCAGACTCAGCTCTCGGATGGTGTGTTGGGGGGGATTTCTTCAAGTTCTCTGAATTTGGGGTAAGGATTATTGACCTGTAGTTCTGTGATCATTTGACGGAGTTCAGAAGTCTGCTCTTTGAGTTGAGCATTTTCTTGAACAACCTTGTCATGGCAGTCTGAAACTTGGTTCAACTTATCTATAAGCTGATGGTTCTCATTCCGAAGCCAAACCACTTGAGACCAAAGCTCGTCCAAATGCTTCTGTTTGCGCATACGTGACCGGCGTGCCGACTCTCTATTGGAGACCATCCTTCTCTGCTTCCTCTCGTCAATGAGGCTTTGCTGTTGCTCATCTGCTTCATCAGAAGTTGAATTGCTACTCAAGCATGGATGTCGATTAAAATCTTGGAACTGAGAAGAACCTTGGAAGTTATATAGAGGATTGGAGAGTTCGTTAAGTTGCATTGTAGATAAGTTGTTCTGAGCCATGGGAAAGTGAGTAGCATATGGAGATAAATTGGAGGGGATGAGATATTGGAGACTTGTGACTTCACCAGGCTGCATCTTTTAGGCCTTATTGAAAGCTTTCTGGGTCTTTGAAGGGGAGAAGATATTGATTTGGGAGAATGGGAAGTTTGGTGGTGAAGATGCTTTATAGCATGTAAAAGGTCTCATTGGCCCACTCTCAAGAATGTGGATGATTTTGAGAAAGTTTGTCAGAGCTTGAATCACTTGAATATCATGCAGATCTTGTCTATGTCCTATTATGGCACGGCTTCTTTGCTTTCATATCATGAGATCATTCAGTTACTCTACTATATCTGTTGTGTATCTTCCTGCTCGTTATGGCTACTCGATGTCGAACAGTATGTGTTTGTGATATATGCATGATTCATATATATATATACATGAGAATTGATTATCTCTGTGATAATAGTTTCACATCATATCTTGCTTACATCAGAGAGAGCATACATATTGTGGGAAGTATAATTATTGTTATGATAGAATGGTTAGAAAAAGAAGAACGGTACATCAAAGGATGTGGAGAAGTCAATCTAAAATTTTAAAAATGACAATAATATTAATAAGAAGAAGAAAAAATAACTCTCTACTAAACAAATCAATCTAGTGATGTAAGCAAAAGAAAGACGGACAAGGCAAGCAAAGCCCTCTTTTGCATTCCTATTCATCAACTATCAATAGGGTAGATGTCCAAAGAAGCTATTAATAGGTTAATGACTTCAATTTCATTTTAAAACACACGGCTCCAATCCTCTCTAAACTGATAACAAAATAAAAATAAGAAACTTAGACCCTTTAGTCTCGTAGATGATATTGAACCAATCATAGCACTAAATGGAGGCTATAGTTACGTCTCTTTTTTCTTGGTGTCTGAATCATAAAGGTCTGAGGCATACCAATTCTCTTAGTATCATTCTACCATCTTAACCTTTTCTCCATCTATTCTTGAGGTTTGGGATAAGACTATAGGATTGTAAATTGGCCCGGATGCAATCTCGTCCCAGATGCTTTTTCACCCTTTAGGTTCATTTTGGTTATATTTAGTGCAATTCGATCCAATCATTTACATCTTATCCTTTAAATTTCAGAGCAATAATTAAAGATAATGGCCACAATTTTAAATGTATACTCAACCTTCTCCCACCTTCCCACAAAAAGATAGAAAAGGAGAAGGAAAAGGAGGGAGGACATCACTAGAAAGGCAGAAGTAGCTGAAAAAAAAACTTCAATTTTCAAGGCACTAACTATCATATTATATTATATTCATGTAAAGTTATGAATTAAGTTTTATAAAGATAGATAACTCGAGGCTTATTTATTGCGTCACTGGAAATAGACTAGATTTAGAAACACTGCGAGAGATGCAGAGTACTCATATCTTTTATTGATCTTTTTTCAGATTTGGCTTTCTTACCAAGTCCCAATGTATATTTGTTTAGCACAATGAAGAGATTAAAATTTTAAAGTTGAGGCGAAAGAATGGCACATTACTGTTGGTTTTGGTATATAATCACGCTCTCTGATAGGATAAAAGTATTTGACATTGCAATATCTTCTTTAAGTATGTCGAAAAATTTACATGATATATGAGCTTTCAAAGTCGATAGAGATCTAGACTCAATAGAAAACTTCAACGTCATCCTACATCATAAGAGACCTAGTCAACTGAAACATCGTCGTACGAAAGTTGTCAACACCCGGCACTCCGTATAAAGTTTTTTTTTTTTTTTTTTTTTTTTT